GTACACTCTGCTTCGTTGTCCAGGCCACTAATAAAGATGTCTAACAGGACTGGACTCAGTATAGACCCCTGGGGTACGCCGTTTAGTTAGTGGCCTCCAACTAGACTTCGTGTCACTGATCACCATGCTCAGGGCACGGCCATTCAGCCAGTTTTCAATCCACCTCACTTTATGCTCATGCACCCCTTACAGCAACAGCTTGTCTACGAAAAGCTATTGAGAATCATTATACAAGACTCTTTTAACCTCGACTGAGATTACTTTTGTGTGTACCTTTGTGAAATGAAATCTTTAGTCACAAGATTGTTTAAAACACACATTCACCATTTATCTATTCCCCATTATGAAAGTTGAAGAACAGTGTGTAAATTAAGCTTAGAAGGTTAAATGGTTTTGGCTTCTTTATGAGCTATTATTAACTTCATTATTTATAAACCTCTCTCTTTGTTGTAATGTTCTTTAGCTGAAGGTTATTGAACTGTAAGTTCCTATCACAGCATCTTTAATTAGGCTAGCTTTTCCCAATACGTTAGGAAGCATGGTGAAGAAGGAAGTATCACAGAATCACAGAATATGCTGAATTGGAAGGGACTTACAAGAATCATTGAGTCCAACTCCTGGCCCTGCACAGGACCATTCCCAAAGGTCACACCATGTGCCTGAGAGTATCATCCAAATACTTCTTGAACTCTATCAGGCTTGGTGCTGTGACCACTTCCCTGGGGAGCCTGTTCCAGCATCCAACCACTGATCTGCTTCTCCTGTTTTACACTGTGATATTACAAATGATTGAGCTCAGGGGTACTCAGGTCTATAAATGCTTTTGTGAATCAGAACAAAATGTTCGATGTTAATATCTGAGTTCACTACCCTTTCTTCTGTGATGAGGAAGGTTGTCTAACAAAAGAAAGAGGACTTCTTCAGATAGAAATGGTCAACATTTCTGTTTTCAACAAGAAAAAAATGAAGAGTTTAGTATGATGACCATCTGGCTTCGAGTTGAATCTCTCAGTCTTTTGGTTGTTCAGCTCCTACTGTGTTTAAAGTTTTTGCTGTAATGTATCCCCAACTGGTTTAAGACTGATGTATTAGCTGCTTTCCTTAAGTCACTCAATGCCTAGCCATTTGTTTACAGAGTTGAGAAGCCTACTTAAAGGTATCATATGCCTAAAATGCCTTAAGGAAACTCTATGCCTCTGGATATTTTTATGTCTTGGAGATGACTTTTGTGGTGGTCTTGAAAGAACTCAGTGACTGAGGGTTCCTGCTATGATTCAGTCTTAGCAGATTCTACCTTTAGAGAAGACTTTTCACCATTAAATCTAAATCGTACATAGAAACCTCCTGTTCTGAAAATTTTGAAATTAAAAAATTAGCATTGTCTTGTTACTTTACACAGAAGAACGTGACTGTCTTCACAGGTTTGTTTTCTTTATACATTTGAAGTGTCCCTTTCCTGAAATTTCCGGAAGCAGCTATTATACATATTACTGGATCAGTGGATTTTATTTAATTTAATCAGGAAATAAAAGCTAAATGAGAAAAAATTGACAAAATATATATCCTAGTTCAGTAAGTAAAACATAATTTAGTATCTGATTCTGTTAACTTTACTGATAATTGTGCAGCATCTGAAACATATGATACTATTTCCCAAAAAGAGTAACACAAGGTGAATCAAGGTGACCATTAGTAAGAACAAGACATATACAGTACAGTACAGGGGAACACGATCCTTCCCATTCTTGTTAAACCACTAGGGATTGCAACTGTCATCCAGAACATCTGCACCATTTGATAAAGTTAACAAAATGTATGATTGAGTCTTCTGCTGTATTTTAAAAGAGATAGGCAGGCACCTTAAATAATTTCTTCACCCACTTGGTCATTACTTCTAACTTTCAAGGTCCCACACTTGCATCTTGTGTGAGGTCATTTACACCTCTGCAGGACATCACTGGGTGTAACAGCTCGTCCATTCAGATGGCATTTGGAAAATTGCTGTCCCCAGAAAAACCACAGCATGGGTTTTTTCATGATTGGTTCCTCTGTCTTTCCCTGAAGCAATAACAGGAGAGATAGATGGCACATAGAGCTTTTGTTTTCTGTAAAAACACCAGCTCTGACACAGAACCATAACAACAGTAATGCCAGCCAGAAAACCTGGAAAATCCATTTTCTGCTTGTTAGGAGACTGCAAAACCAGACCAAAGAACTATTGCTGGGCACAAATTTTAATCTAGATACTGGGGGCACAGCTCAGAATGATTAACATGAATTTGAACTCACATGAGCTCTCTTCTCTCCACACCTGTTATGTGAAGAGCTGCACTGGCTTGCTAAGCCACATAGAGAGTACACACAAGGAGTTCACAGCCTAGGTCTCTGACCTTACAAGTGATTCCATGTGGGCAGATGCCTGATTCCTTGCCCAACCAGAAGTGATCCTTCACCCGTCCCCTGTGCAAGAGAGCCACCTTTGTCTCAAACAAAATACCCCTTTCCAATCTGTCCACAGACCTTCCCTGTGCAAAGAGCAGAACAAAAATTATCTGCAGGAGCTCTGTGCTTTTAGAATTTAAGGACACAGAAAAATGTAGGAGAATTTATTCTGATCTTCTCTGCATTGCAAGCATTTCGCCTTTGTAACTTGAACTGCGATTGGTAATTTACTTTTGATAGAAGTAGAGTGTGTTTAGCTGAAGGCTACCTACCAGGAGGGCACTGAGCTTTGAACTGAAAAAGTCTAAAAATACAAAATCCACTAATTCTCTTCCTAGTCTGTCCCAGTAATTAATCACTGTGGTATTAAAAATTGGCATATAGTTTCCCATATGAATTTCCCAGGATTCAGCTTTTATCCATGCATCATCTCCTTGCTTAATTTAAAGGTCTTTTCTCCTCCCCTCGTAAAAAACCACTTATGTGCTCAATCCACTCACCTTCCTTCCAATAATGTAAATTAACTGAAATGTTCAAGTTTCTTACTGTATGGCATTTTCTACAGGTGTCTAAGATTTACAGGTTTTTTCACCCTCTTCCACTTTTTCAAAACACCATTAAAAATAGCAATGTGAGAGTCAACTGCAGCATTCTAATGTCAGTCTCACCAATACAGGCACAAGAAATCTTCCAGCTTCTAATCACTACTCCTCAGCTTAGAACTCAAGGGTGACATTAACCCTTCTGACTTTATGTTGCAATAGAAACTTACAGTAGTTGTACCCTAAATCCTATTTAGAATCTCATTTTGGGAGTCAGACTCCACTTTTACAAGAGCAAGTCTGCATTCATCTTTATTGCACAATTTTGCATTTGACTATGAAAATGTGCTACTTCTAATGGTCCTAGCTTACCAAGAAGTCCAGGCTTCTTTCATACTCTTGCTTTATCCTCACTATTACCCTGCTCCACCCAACAAAACATTATTAGCCAATTATTATGAGTCCCTATGTATGTTTAGACCATTAATAACAATATAAGGTGCCTAACCTCTGGGAATTCTAGAAGTAATTGCTCAGCTCTCACTTAAACCCAGGAACATTTGAACACTAAATACACCTCAGTTTTCAACAGTAAAATATCCCTTGTGCTTAGAATTACAAGATACTGGAGAACTGATGGTTAATTACAGTAAAAGGCATGTGTTTTGGAAATGATATTTCTATTAAAATTATTAGGACAATATAGTGTTAATTAGTATCCAGTATCCTCAACTTTTAAACCATAAAAAGCCTTTAAAATAGAGATCTTATAATAAATCATATATCAATTAACATACCAAATGTTTCATCTTTTTATTTGGCTGCTACTGAGTGAGTCTGATTCCATATCAAAATACTCAGTTGACATGTAATCTCAACAGACCTGGCAAGCAAAGGGTGGATTTAACCGTACATGAGGTAATCAGTCAAACGCAGGGGTCTCTCTGCAATGGCTGGACCCATCTTCCATCAGCATACATTTTATTTCCAATCCAACAAAACAGTAAATGACCACCCTCTTTTCTGCTAGTGGCACTGGGGGATGAGCCATCTAGCCCCTGGGTGAGGGAGAGTGCTGCTTCCAGGAGAGCTTAGCCTTCAGCTGAGAGGCAGAATGTCATGGGGTGAAGTAGTTAGTAGCTGAAGTTCACAATCACATTTAATGACCATGGGGCTGGGAAATAAGCCCACACATTTAGTAACAAGCTTGGACTTGGGTAAAACCAGAGAGGCCATGAACTCTTCAAAACATCCCCACCTCCCAGATCCCTTAGACTGCATTTCAGCCTATATGTAAATACAACATGATGTCCTCCTCTATCATTTTTCAGATAAGCTCTCACTGGCCTACACAGAATTAATTCTAGGAAAGTGAACTGCTTGCACAAAATAAGGGACTAAACCCTTAGGGAATTTGGTGAACTAAAGAATAAACAAAATATATGTAAGACTTGATTTTCAAGGGCATAAATCATCCACAGCTTACGCTTGAGAATACTAAACACATCTGAAAATTGGGACAATTGCTCTGTTTCTGCTGTTAAGTTGCTGCCTCAGCTTCCTTGGCCTTTATCTCACCCTATAACATCAAAATACTTTAGATATGGTTTTTACACTGGGGTACTGAGAGTTCATTCAAAGTGTTAAAGTACCCTTAGGGAAAACTGCTCTGTTAACTCTAAACCTAATATCAAAACATTAAGCCACAAGCAAGGCTGAATTTTATCCCCACGATAGCTGGTTTGTCATCCGGTTAGAGATGTCAGAATACAAATCTGTTGGGTAAAACTATCTGCTGGTGTGAACTGGCAAAGCCATTCTGGCAAGGCAGTGTTTGGCCCAATCTTCCCTCAGTTTGAAGTGACATAACGCTTTCTGTGCTCTACCCCAGACAGCCCTCCACACCTTACGTACTGAATGCAATACCTTCATATCTGCTGGAATGATTTTGCCTGTCACCTTCCCCAAGGAGACAAAATGCAAAACATGCTTTACTCCAAAAAAAGCTGCACTCACCCGATCTTCTTCTTCTCTGACATCTGGCATGGTGCTGATGCAGAGGCTGACTGCAGTGATGGCAACAAAAGAGATTGAAATACAAGCAAAGATCTTCCCTGGGATCCCTGAGTGGGGGTTCTCTACCATATCCCTGAGCTTTCTCATGCACAAACTCAATCGGCTAGTGTCCTGGAAGGCACATTGCGCAGTTTCACTAAATACCATCTCCCTTTCAAACAGCCTGGCCTCAGCTGCCTCTTCCTCTTTCTGTCGCAATCTCTTTTTACAGCACCACTCCAGGTGGTCCTCTTCTATCCCCCAGTACACAAGCTCCTCCTGGAAAGAAAGAGCGCACATCTCCCTGAGAAGCCTCAGCTTCCCAGCTGTCAGGAAAGTCATGATTGTCCTGAAGGCACTAGGATTACGGTCAAAAAAAAATTCATTGCAGCTAACATCATAATCATCGCAGATGTTCATGATCTCATCATAGTTGTTGCAAGACTTTAGCTTCCCAAGCCTGGTCAAGGGGAAGTTCTCCAAGGTGGTCCATGGAATTTTGTATTTAATACCGCCTACATTGATGATCACAAACCTGGACCGGTCATCGAGGCGGGCTAAGCAGCACAAGTCTTCTCCAGGATGCAAAAGTTTGGCCTTTTTGTAGAAGAATCCTTTCTTGGTTTGCACTTCACACAGGTTTTCCAAGTTGTTGAAGGAGTAAGTGCTGAACTCAGGATCTGCATTCCCAGTGAGCAATGCCATTTTGTGATACATCTGTTGAGTCCATAGGGAGGTTGAGGCTACTCAAACAAAAGCATCTGAAGCTTGACCAGAAAGTCTATCTGTAAAAAAAGGATTTTAAAATTACAATAAAAGTAGGACACTGTTAGATGATAAACAATCCTATCCTCTCATCCCCAAGAAACTTTTGCCCGTGGCATTATTTTTCCCCCTATTATTTTAGGAGTATCTTTGCTTGATAGTCGCTTGTGGAAAGAACTTAAACTACAATCAGGTCAGAAGCCATGTTGATACTTCAAGAGAGTTTAGTCAGTGAATGAATTTACATTTTAGCAACTTAATAAAGAAACTTAGTTGTAAATTTTTTTTTATTATTTTGGCCCATCTACATAATGTTCCTATTACAAAATGCCCATAGTGTGAGGATAAAACAGACACCTACAGTACAGTCAGAAATGTAAATGCAGAAATGTGGGTAATTCCCAATTTAAATTCACTATGCCTAGGTAGCAATAGCAATGAATATCTGGGAGCTGAGAATCCAGCCTGCAGCCAGCACCCACGTTTGGGTGCTTGAATCTCCATAGCACTATGGAGATTCATTTGCCACCGGTACCCCAGCTAATTGGATTAAAGTTGTATAGGGAGTATCTACCTGAACAGCCCCACTTCTAAGGGTAGAAAAGCTTTTGTTCCATGCTGGGGTACCTGCCTTCCTGATTACTGACATCTCTGGCAGGAAGGTGGGCATGCTGGGTCTGAGCTGAAACCAGAGCTTGCCTGGGACGCTGGAGCTGCTGAAGGCTCTTCTGTGGGTTTGGTTGTAGGAGATGGAGAGGGTGCCAAGAAGCCTGGCAGCAGCTCTGAAACGGGATATCAAACCTAAGAATGAAGCCGAGCTGGAAGTGAGCTGGTTGCAGCTCTTACTTCTGGATAGCGCAGAACCCAACTGGTCACATTTAGCAGGAATTACGCATATTATGTATAATTCCAGGATTTAGCTTGTGCCTTCTGCTTACCCCTCCTTTACCAAACCACAATCCACATCGTTTCCTTACTTCCTCTAAAGCTCGTCACCCACATTCTTCAAAGCAGTCTCTCCAAATCAGTACTGGGGATGTCTTGAAATGCTACTATGTAATGACACTTGTGAATCACCCAAAACTTCCTGAATTGCTCAAATATGAAGTAGGAAACAAGAAATCAGTGTCGGACTATTGGGATTCCACACAAAAGACCTGGACTGAGAATGGATGCAGTGATGGTGAACAGTCTTAACCAGGGGAGGTAAAAACCTTACAAGTTGACAAAAGACAGGAGAAAAAGCTGAGTAGTGAAGGATAGACTGACATAATTGATGACAGGATGAGGCAGTAACTCCATAATTTATAAGCAACATTCTCCAATTCCCTCTGAATCTCATGCCTCAGCTGGGAGAGAACAACAAACAAGTGGGTGCCAGGAAAAATCAGAGAGCACATACATTGAAACACATTCCCAGAGGAGCATCTTCCTTTATCTGTAATCAGCGCACTAACTCTTAACTCATTAGACTTAGTCAAAATGATCTCTGACAGAGAGTGGTGAATACTTGCTACCATAGCACTGAATCACCCTCTAAATATTCTTATCAACTGCACTCAAACAACAACACAGCAGTAACAGTGGTACTCCTGCTTCAACATTTCTATAAGGACTCAGTCACTGAATTTTAGAATGGCATTTACATTGGATAGTTGCAAAAGGTCAGGAAGGTTGGTTTATATACAAAAAGCTACAGTCACCTAGAGATACTTTTCAGCACAGTGAAAATTTCAGAAGAGCTAATGATGCTAAAATCTCTCCAATTTCACTTCAGGGAAAGAAATAATTGTTTGAACATCTGTTTATACCGGGCAGCACGAGCGACAGAGAAAAGCTCCTTCACCTGGGTAAGGGCCAGTAAAGGGCAATAGGAGCAACACACTGTTACGGTGCTTCAACGGCACAGGCTCGAGTGCAGCTGGGGTTGCAAATGCCACAATGAGTGAGCACTGTCAGCACAGCATATGCTTAAAAGATTTAGTCTCTTGTTGCTTTCTGTTGGTAAGATAAAATATTCACTGCCACTACTGAGAGCTTTGTGCTTTTGTTTTCATGCCTCACTTGTTCTACAAGTCAACATACTAAAAGCAGTTTACGTTGTTTTGACATCGAGGCCAGGATTTGCTTTTCTCCTCTCCCCCGTGTAGCAGGTTGCTGCATAAAGGGGCCAGATACATTTCACAGAACTATTTTGAATCTAATCTTACATGCACTTCTTCCTCCTTCTAAGCAGCAGCTAGCTCAATGTGAAAATCTGTAAGCATGTTGTTTGCTACAAAATCTCTGAATCTCTGAATCTTTTATTTTGTAAATGTGTGGATAGAAAATTACACTGGTTAAATGTAAAGCTTAAGGAAGGAGCTTTTTCTTTTTTTTGTATCGTCAGTGGATAAACAGAAAGAGAACAGAAGTAGTTATGGATAGTATTGCCTCTGGTTTAACAGGTTGATTCTGGACAGTACTGGTAGCACCAGGTGCTGGAGTTTAATTACTACAGTGAATTTTCTGACATCATACTTCAAGATCCCAGAATCCATACTAGCATACCTTATTAGTCGGCAGCATTTGTTTTGGAAATCTCAGATTAAAAGATAAGCATGTGAAGACAGTTGTATTTATTATTCTCCTTGCCACTTCTGTGAGATGGCTGACCAAGACCAGGGCTCAGATGTCAATGGAACAACATGGAAAAGCTTCTTGTGCCACATTAACTATCTAGAGAAAAACAAAATACATCACTGTGGGTTCCCAATTTGGCATCTATCCTGAGAAGTAAAACAAGCCTGGAAGGTCTGTCTCTGATCTTATGTGCATGGAATGTATCATGACTCTCACTAAATATTAAAGGGTGTTTCAAAATTACGTGGGTCTTAAAATACTCTCTGCATGCCAAGGTTATCTAATGTATGCACATGCCTGCAATAAAGCATCCCATTGAAGATTAACTTTAAAAGCCAATACTTCCAGAAATGATACTACTTTATCATCCAGCTGGTATTTCTACCATTTAATCCGACACATGGGTGCAGGAATGCACAGTCTGGAATAAGCTGTCCATCACAGGGATGAAGGACAGAATTTGATTCTATATTTGTTGTTCATAATTTTACAATGCTGTGGGAGAAATGCTGCATGAATGTTTCAGTTTGATGATCATATACAGGGTGGGTCATACATATTGTGGATTCTTTTCTTTTTTAAGTAGAGTCAAACAATTTTTATTCACTTAGTAGTATTTTCTTTGGCCATCTATGTATGCATATGTATTCATGCACACATGAATTCAGCCAAATTGTGTCAACAACAAATAGTTGAGATCTTCAAAACACAAGTATCTCCCATCAAAGATTTTAAAGATTAAATAAATGTCATAAGCGCACAACTGCTTCTCCTTTTTGTTGAATTATTTTCTCAGCTGAGAGAGAGCTATTTCCTGACTTACTGCCTTCTCACTTTTTCCAGATGAAATTCAGGGTCCCTTCCTACCTCAACTACTCCATGATTTTGTAAACAGTCTCTTTTTAACTGCTGCTGTAAGTTACAAAGTACTGCAGGTATACACTTGTACTACAATAGCAAAAGGAAACCATGAGGTCTTTTAGCAATTAACGTTTTAAGATTTCTTTTGTGCAATGAAACACATTTTGACAGAGTACAGGTTATTGTGTCATAATTTAAAGCCACAGACATGAAATATAGATTAGGGTGACCACAAGATGTTTTCTCTCAATTCCAATGGGAGTTGAGTCAGTGAACCTGTTCTGCAGTGCTCAGCCATTTCCAGTCAGAGATGTGCTGAAACCTGACATTGCTGCCTGGGACCAAAATAATTCCTACTTCTTACTGTGACATGATTTATAAATCACAACACACACAATCACTTTAATAGTAAACTTTACACATGCAATTGATCATCCAGTTGGTGATATTACAGCTAACACTTTGGGTGAGGAGGTTCGGGAGATCTGGGTTACTCTTCTACTCACTATAGTTCAGTAGAACGTGGACTCCCAGTTATGAGTCCCTGCCAGGCACTGTCGAAACATGGGGAGGAAAGCATCTGCCCACAAGTCTTACAACATACAGAACAGATGGGGTGCAAGAAATACAAAGACTTAAAAACCAAAACAAACCCCAGTGAAACAAAACAGAATAGATACCTCTTGAACACTTCCAGGGATGGTGATTCTACCACTTCCCTGGACAGCCTGTTCCAATGTCTGACCACCCTATCAGTGAAGGAATTTTTCCTAATTCCAAATCTAAACCTCCCCTGGCGCAATTTGAGATCATTTCCTCTTGTCACTTGCTACTTGGGAGAAGGGGCTGGACCCCACCTAGCTACAACATCCTTTCAGGGGACTACAACTTGGACACAAAATTGGGAACACATCTATACAGATCCAAGACTTTCTACCTTGATCTCTAGGCTTTGTTAAAGCACCATTATACAAAAATATGGACAGTATTTCTCTCACACTCTACTTTGAATTTTTATTTCAAGTTTCCTCAATATATTTGTACCCCATCGAGCACCTCAGGAGTCTGAACTCTGCCTTGCTACTTCTTTGCTACTCTGCTTTGCTACTTCTATGTCATGAAAGTGTGGTTTCACAGGGAACTAAAGTGAGACTGAGTAACATTGGTTAAATCAAAAGCATCCAAGCATTTTCCTGCAAGCTTTCTGAAGTAAAGGAATCAGTGCTGGAATGAATTTTGAAAAGAGTCTATAATAAGAAAAAATAAATCAAAATAATGTAAATATAACTTATTTGCTATATATATTGCCAGCTTCACTCCCAAAATGTTCAAGAAAAAAAAGCAATAAATGGAAATTAGAACAGAGTAAACCCACTTTAATCTATAAAAGGATACACTCCAAAGGACAAAGGGGAGTCGGGTTGATTTCACAGCGAGTATTTTCTATGTAACCTCAAAAAGTTGAATTTTACGTATTTCTGTATTTATTATCAGCAAACTTTAATATCCCTGACCTCTTAAGCCACTGCTTAGGGAA